CTGTTATTTTCAGTAACCAATCTCTGTACGGGTTCAGTAAATTTGACCAATCTCACAACCATCATAAAAAATTAGGAAATAAACATAAATGTTTAGACAAAATAGCTTATATCTCATAACATCATACATTTATATAAATATCTATTATTCTTATTATATTGACCTTTCACTGGTGCCTAGCTAACAATACAGAAGTTACAATGACGTGGCTCACGTGCACTCATGTTACCATATCAAATAACATAAAGGTGAACTTTAGTTTGTACAAAGTTACTTGTTTTGGCTGTGTTTTAGTCGACTAGAATTTTGTAAAATACAGTCACATTTCAATTATTATACATTATATATATGTATATAGATTATTGCTATTTTAAAATAAGTTCTTAAAGTTATTTTTCCTAAAATATAGAACAGTAAATAAAGAAGAAAAGCACACAATTATCTCTTCTAGTTATGACCTTTGTACTCGGTTGCCAAGCTTTTTAAAATTTTGCACGCGGAAGATATGAAACAAAATTTTTTAGGTTTTTATATATACAGTTGAATAACCAAAAAATCATAAATTACTATATCAGTATCACAGAATTCCACTATAATTTATCAAGCTTAGTAACTTAGCTGTATTTGGGTCTACAAAAATGCAATTTCAATCAGACTAAAGACACAACCTACCTCATTGAAATCTTGATTTAAAAAGAAAGAAATGATGCTAAGTACGTTAGAAAGGCTTAGAAAACTACTAGGGGGATATTCTGAGCTTCCGATTGGTTATTCATGTCATTTATAGAAGCAAGTGTTTACAAAAATGGAAGGAGGTGAGCAGGATGCCACTATGTTTGATTTATTATATGAGCAATATCTTAGCAAACAGAATAGATAAGACCTTATTTTATATTCTACCTTGTCAATATCTGTAATTTGAGTTTCTAATTCGTATGAAACTATAGACTTAGTATTTTGACTTAACAAACATCTAATCTGAACCAGTGCTGCATTCAACATACCATGTGACATCCAAAAATCAATGTTTATCTGTGTTTTTTAATAATTACTTTTAAATTAACAATTTGAGTAATGTATAGTTCTAAAATTTGAATTATAATCTAGTTTGATACCAAACTTATTGACATAAATTCATGAAATAGTAGTTCAATAAAATTTTGAATATGAGTCAACAATCAAGACAACATGGCCTTTCACCTCTGACCCCTATCGAAAGGGTTAATTCCTTAGTGCTAATTTGTTACGTGGCATATATTCTTAAAGTTTTTGTTGAGGCATTCAACAGCTTATATGAACTTTTCTGTGTATAAAAGATGTACTCCATAAAAGTTTATAGTTAGTTTTTATATTGCCATTTCTTATCCAGTTTCCATATTTCAAAAAGTTCATGTTACAATACATTACTTGTTGCAGACCTGTGTTACAATAATTACACCCTAGTAACTGTTGTTGTTATTTGGAAGCTTATTCACATTAATCAACTCTTGTGATCAAAGCTTTCTGCATCCAGTTTTAGTAGAACCATGATTTTTCTTTATCAACTCTCTTTGATCTAAAGACGCTTAGGTTTGAGTCCTGTTAGAATATGCTTGTAATTTAATATCTTCCAAAAAACACTAATCATGATAGTATAAAAGAATTTAAATAATGTTTCTAATTTTATAAATTTTCTGTTTAGCTGCATACTCCACAAACAACTCAACACCATTTGTAACAATTTTTTATGTTTTTGCAATTATCACAGCTTTGTTACCTTTCTTTTTCACATGTACATGACATTATTTAAAGCCCATTATAAGAAAATAGTTTAATTAGAATTCCATATCAATCACTAGTGCTAAAAATTCTTGCTTTTATCTAAGGTTACTTTTGATATACGACAATTTTAGTGGGTATTAAAAACACAGCTACTACTTTTTTACATTAGACTTATTATAGACAATGATTAGACATGATTGTTAAATTTCTGTATTTGTGGCTTTTGTCTTGACATTGACATAGATCTGCTATTCTAAGCAGCCTCTTTTTTAAAAGGGGGTGGGGCACAAGCTTATAGAAAGTAACTGAACAATTAAAAAGATGTTTCATTGCCCTAACATCTAGCATGTGAAGGATATTTATGTAATAATAATTACAAACCCTAAAGGGATGTATAAATTACAAAGCTACTCATACTATTTACCATAATACCTCAAATTAAGAAAATTTGCTCAACCTTGTACCTGCTCCTTTAAAACTGACATTTAATTTATATTCTTTCTTATAACTTTCCAAATACAAATATGTTACCTTAAACTGTTAGCCAACTGTGCATTTGGTGATATTTTCTATTGTATCTAGACCATTTACAGTGCAGACTATCAAAACTCATTGCATTTTTTTTCTTACTTTGTGTACACACAAGTGAATATATCAGTTCAAAGAAACTTTGCGATAAGTGATTTTTTATTTACTCAACTGTTTTAGGTGAAATGAAAACATGAGCACATCAAAAGCTAGCATTTCATTGCACCACTTGACATACAACAGTAACAGGTTGAGACTTATCTAGACTTCCAGTAAAGTGTTAATAGTGTTTTTTATCTTTTGCCTTCTTATCACTCGTCAAGAATATTGATTTTTTTTTTACTTTTTGTTACACTAATAATTAATTTAGTTAATTGCCCAGCTTGTCTAAATTCTCAGATATCATGAAATATATAGGACTGAACTACAAACAATTATCACATTATTGACATGCAAAGTTCAACCCACAGCAAATTTGATCATTTTAAAACAATAATGCTTCAATCTTTGATTGAATTTGTCATACACTAAAATTTTACTTGCTAGCTAGAAGTCCTATAATAGGCAGAGCATAATCAAGATTAAAAGGCTGTTATTAATTCTACATTAAAAGTTTTATTTTCTTAACACTTTACTATTTCATATTAATTGTTTAAGCAAATACTATTTCAGTGTTATGCTAAGAAACTCAGAGGATAGAGGTAGAGAACAGGTCTACTGATTCACAAAAAAACAAACTTCAAGACACAGACCTATAACCTATTAATTACAAGGGGAAGTATATGTACATCTTATTTCAGATTAAATAAAACAATTACCATTTTAACTTAATAGCTCGAAATATGCACTGAATGTTTGTGGTAAATGAAGCATATGAAATCAAGTGCCTAGTGTTTACAACAGCAACACTGTTGGATCTGGATGACAGAACTGTACTAACAATGAGGATGATACTGTGTAATAGTTATTATATTTATTTTACTCATTTAAATGTTCAACTTACATAATATAAAATTATACACTGTCTCTATTAAAAAAAAAAAACAGTGGGAAAACATTGCAAGTTAAAACATGATGTTTTAATAGTAGGTACGTTTTTTTTTTTATAAATAAGGTTATTAATCTTTTAGAATTTCTTTTTTTTCCCAAGAATACCTCCACCTACTGGCCAAATTGGGCCCAAGCAGAGAGAAAAAGAAATGACATTCACCAACTTACATGTAGGTATATATCTTCCTTGTACACTTTTAATGTTAAGTAAAAATTTAATATACAAGTTAGTCTGTAAGAATCAACAGAAACAATTCAATTAATACAATACCCTTTGACATTTAACAGAATCAAACAGTAACTTAATTCAAAGTACTAAAAATATGACCTAAACACCCGGAAATATAAAACTACCACCAGATATCTTACTAAAGGACATTTTGTTTCATGCAAGTATACACATGTATACTTACAATAAGGTCCTCAGTGATCTTTGATGATAACGAGTCTAACAAGATGTCATTAAAGTTGATCAAAGCAATGAATTTATGACATAATGAATAGAGAAGAACATTAGGGTAACTGGCTAATAGATTAATCGTTGGGCTTATTAGTTGGTTATATTCAACTAATCAATTGTTCTCATATCAGGCATGGATAGTCACAATAATAACAAATAGTTATCATCAGAAGCACTAATTTTGATTAGTGGATTATTTTCATGACATTAATTAACCCTTTACAGACGGGTCATGGGTGAGAGGCCATGTCATCGCATTTGTTGACTCGCATTCAAAATTATATTGAACTACTATTTCATAAACTTATTTCAGTAAGTTTGGTATCAAACTGTAGATTATAATTGTTTTATTATTATACATTACTCAATTTTTTAATTTAAAATTAAATACTAAAAAAACACAATTAAACACTGATTTTTGTGTCATGTGGTATGTTAAATGCAGCATTGGTTCAAATTAGATGTTTGTGATGTCAAAATACTAAGTCTGTAATTTTGTATGAATTAGGAACTCAAATTACCGATATTGACTAGCTAGAATATAAAATAAGAACCTCTTATCTTTTCTATTTGCTAGATATTGCTCATGTAATAAATCAAACACAGTGGTACCCCATCAACCTCTTTCAATTTTGGGAAATGCTCCCTTATATACACTTTCTATATATGACATAACCAATCGAAAGGTCAGAATGTCCCCCTAGTGACTTTCTCAGCCATTTTTATGTGTTAGTACACCATCTCTTTCTTTCGAACCAATATTTCAAGGAGGTAGTTTGTGTCTTTAGTCTGCTCAAAATTTCATTTTTTTAGACCCAAGTACAGCTTAGTTACTATGCTTAATAAATTTTAGTGGAATTCTATGCTATTGATATAGTAGTTTATAATTTTTTGGTTATTCAACTGTATATATAAAACTAACAAAACTTATTTTGTTTCATATCTTCCACGTGCAAAGTTTTAAAAAGCTTGGCAACCTATGTCAAGCAGCAACCAAGTACAAAGGTCATAACTAGAAGATATAATTGTTTGCTTTACTTCTTTATTTACTGTTCTATATTTTAAGAAAAATAAGTTTAAGAGCATATATCCAAATAGTAATAATCTATACATATACATAATGTAAAATAACTGAAATGTGACTGTATTTTACAAAATACTAGTCTTCTAAAACACAGCCAAGACAGGTCACTTTGTAAAGACTAAAGGTCAGTTTTATATTATTGGATATGGTAACATGACTGCACACGTGTCACGCCATTGTAACTTCTGTATTGTTAACCAGGCACGGCTGAAAGGTCAATATTATAAAAATGATATATATATATATGTATAATGTTATGAGATTTAAGCTATTTAGTTTAAACATTTATATTTTCGTGTTATAATCTGTTGTCATTCTACAATGAAAGATTTAAAGTATAATTTTAGCTAATTAATTTTACATGAAATTAATCAATGTGATCAATGCTTATGGGTAATCAATAATATTGAATTGATTGTCCAGTTCTAAAGATGAACTTTACCCACATTCTGTTGACAGCTAGCTTCTTTCTCAATGTGTGTATTTATAATTGGGTAGTTTAATTTGTATAAAAATACTGCAAGTTTGATGAAATATGCATTTTTCATTACAACAAGCAGGTAATTATTAAATACGTGTAGCTTAGTTTGTATATATATAAAAAAAAACTTGTAAACTGCAATATGCATTTTTTCACACCTGCACTGATAGATTTCACTCCCATTACACCCAAATATGACAACTTTTATTAACCATACAAATAGAGCCATTTATGTTCTCACCCACCAAAAAATTAGTTACACAATAAATGAAACCAAAATATGCACATCTTCAAGCAAAATAGTCTAAAGTTAAAACTGATAACAGAGAAATAGTTTTACTTAAGAACATGGGTAGACCTAACCCAAAACTTATACTTACTATCCTACTGCAAAAATCACACTCAATATTCAATGTATTTTAAATTTAAATCACATAATATAATAATACAAATAGCTTGGAAACCTTTAACTAATTTGGTAACCTCTCTTTATACTTGTTCTAACACACTGGTATCTATTTATGTAATAAATACACTAAAAATAAACATAGCATTCATCCAAGTCTTAAAAATAGCAGTACATTTCCTACTTGTAAACACAAGACTTTTAAATAAACATCAATACAGGTACGATTTTGTCAAGTAAACTTCAGCTGAAGGCTTTAAGTATAATTCTGACTTTCAGATTGTTCACCCTTTTCACAATACCAAAGCAATGAAAGTTTCTCCATTATTATTAGTATTATATGTGTATAAGTACTGAAAAACATTTTCTAATTATCTCATTACTCAATACAAAAAATCACATCTAGTGTCTTTTACAATTAGCATTTATAATGGGTATCAACCTTAACACCAAATGTAAAAGATATAGCTCGAAAACAATAAGAACATTCCACATTTTTTGGGCTCAAGAATAAACTTACTGTATCAATTATTTATTTATAATACTAATAGTAACAGTATTTTAAAACATTTTATGAACAACTTTTCATTAAGGAAATTATATACTTTATTTCATAATGTAAATTTTTCAGTCACGGATATCTTCATTTAAGTTTGTGATGACTTACATTTTTCACTATATTTATTTTTAAATAAAATTATTATAAGGAAAAATGAGAGGTTTGCTATCTTACAAAGAAAATGGTATTGCCTATTGGTGAAGACTGAAACAGTGAAAGTGAAATAGTGGTGCGAAGTTTGCACTAAGTTGCTAACTTAACGAAGCACCAGGTCTTTCGAGAACCTTCTTAAACAAATCAAACTAATTCACATCTTCAGAAACTATCATAAGCGTCAGTACCATCGATACCACTCTAATTATGTGACATTATATCTTACTCTTATTTAGGTTCGCTGACCGAGTGACTCATAATCACATCACATTATCACTGCCATCAGTGTTAGTGTTAAGATACTAAAAAAGTTCAAACTTACCAAGGTAAATATCACCAAAGGATCCGCTACCAATTTTCCTCCCAAGCCGATACTTATTCCCAACTCTTAATTCCATAGCTGAAACAAATATCACAAACCCGTATTAATTTTTATTTAAAAAATATATTTTTAACGAAACAATTCAATTGTTCTTATACCGCCATCTTGAAAATAGATACAGAGAGTTAATATATTTAAATATTAATACCTCCTTTCATAGAGGCGTTTTCTGGTAAGAAATTTGTTTCAAATAATGAAGAGGTCTTCTAATTTGATCGAAGTAAAAAACTATTCGTTTTTGAAAGATATAATACCCTGATTAATTTGATTTTTTAGTCCCCTCATAACTGCGAACATCTAGTAAACATAATACATCATACATGCGCCTGCGCGGTAGCATAGGCCCTGAGAAAGAGATACCCGGATCGCGAAATTGACTCCACCCTCTGCGGCAGATGGCGTTATTTTGACAATCAGACTCTGAGTTATTTTCTTAAGTACACATTTAAGTTAAGCTTATACATACATACAAAATGAATATGTGCAATATCTGATGTATGTCAATGTGAAAAGGTTTACATGTACAATATATACATGCATATAAACATGTATGCAAAAATACTGCTCGATATTGTTGATTTCAATTACTATTAAGCTTAAATGGATTAGTGCGCAGGCATGATAGAACAAAGACCTCTAGCTGCATGTATTAAGTCAACAGTTGACTTCGCATGACTCATAATTATTGTCTCATTATATTATGCTAGTAACAAAGTTACACTCATAACTAGGATAAACAGATCAAAGGTTCATTGCTATAATAATAAGTTTAACAAAAATGTATTTATTAATAGTCACAATTACCAAGTTGTTTAATTTTACATTCTTGTTTCTTTAATTTTGCAGTCATCAGCTGAAGTGCTCTATTTGCTGTGCAACAGAAATAGCAGAAGACAAAATGCTATAAGTATGGTGTTAACGTAAAATGGAAATTTTTCAGATTTTTGAAGAGCTCTCCATCAGGTAGAATTACTTATTATGGCAATGCTTTTGTCATGTTGGTTTTAAATTCAATCTTACTTCATTATAATCTGTTAGTGCCTTTTAAGCCTGCCCCTCAGTGGGACAGCGGTAAGCCAACGAACTTACAACGCTAAAATCCGGGGCTCAGTTCCGTGCAATGATCACAGCAGATAGCTCAATGTAGCACTGCTCTAAAACAAACAAACTAAAGCCTTTTGAACCCCCATTGACTCAGCAGTAACTAAACTGGTTTCAATACATTTGATGGGCATAGCGCAGATAGCCAGCCCATTGTGTAGCTTTGAGCTTAACAACAAAACACGATTTAAAAACATATTATTTATAAATATATATTACCCTATTAGCTTAGAGGTATTTCAAAATACGATGTATATGTGTGTGTATATATATATTTATATATATCTGTAATGTAATATATGAAAAATTATACAAAATCAGAAAATATATCTTAGTTATTTATTATCTAAGTTATGATTCAAAAATGTTCTTCAGGGTTGAATATTTATCTCACCAGACAAGCGGATAATGAATTCATAATCTAAATACTCTGACAAAATTTTCGTCGTAGACAGTGGTTTGGTTTGTTTAGAATTTCGCGCAAAGCTACACGAAGTCTATCTGCGCAGCCGTCCCTAATTTAGTAGTCGAAGACCAGAGGAAAGGCAGCACCACCCACCGCCAACTCTTGGGCTACTCTTTTACCAATGAAAAGTGGGATTGACCGTCACCACGGCTGAAAAGGGCGAGAATGTTTGGTGGGACGGGGATTCGAACCCGCGACTCTCAGATTGCAAGTCGAGCGCCCTAACCACTTGTCGGACCCATAGTAAGTGTAAAATTATATCATTAAAACAAACCACTTTCAGAACGTAATATTTGCTTAGATCTTTCGGCTACTAATAAAAAAAATATATAACAATATTTGTTCGCTAATAAAAATCCTCCATTTATTTTATATTTTCATTTCTAAATAATTTATTTTGCGTTATAGTTAAGGTTAGTCTTGTTGATGATATGCCTCTTTCCCCTTTCTTTTCAGAAAAAAAAATAACAAATTGATAATGTTCAAATAATTGTAATTTTTATCAATGTTGAGTCAACTTGAGTATTGTTGTATTGGTTGCGGTATTTTAAGGTAAAACTAATTTCCTAACAAGTATCAAACAGGTAATTCCTCTAGTATCAGCAAGTTCGATAAAGAAATATGGAAAGTAATCTGTATTAGTATCTTGACTGAATTTCTTTAAGTGTAAAATAATGAAACCAGGAAAATGTGAATAAATGAAGGAAATATTCATTATTACAAACAAACAGAAAGCGTAATCAAATCTGAAGAGGAGGAACCCACTTTTGAACAATAAAGTTTAATTATAATTTGTTTATAATTAAGTACAAAGCTACACATTGGGCTATCTGTGCTCTACCCACCATATGGTATCGAAACCTGGTAATTATCGTTGTAAGTCCGCAGACATACCACTGTGCCACTGGAGGACATAAAGTTTGAAGATGGCTTGGTAATGAAGAACACTTTATCACAAGTTTAACATAATTACAACATTTCGGCATTATCGGGCAGAAGTAGTTTACATAGTTACAGGAATATATATATAGTTATATATATATATATATATATGGTTATATAGTATGTAACAAAGAAGTCATATGACCGGAGATTTTAACAGCTTTATACATACATACAGTGCCTTGTAAAAGTATTCACCCCCTGTAAAATTTCCACATTTTGTTGCCGCCTGAGTTTGCAATCATGAAACTTTCAAATGGGACTTTATACTTAGAATCTACACAATCTACTCCAAACTGAGAAAGCTAAAAAAAGGCAAAAGACAACAACAAAAAACGCTGATATTATGTAAGTAAGTTAGATTTTCAAAGAAAATTAGAATATTCTCAATTGCAAAATATTAGTTTGAAAGGTCACAAAATTCGTTTAATGGTCTCTGTCTGTGTGTAATCAAAGTGGTCTAACTTGACTTCAGAGTAAATGCATCTGATCAAACCACAACTCACACAATGATACGACAAACCAACCATGAAAACCAAGGAGCTTTTCAAACAAGTCAGGGATAAAGTGGTAGAGAAGCACATATAAGTAGAAGGTTACAAGAAAATTTCAAAGTCGCTGACTATCACTTTGAGTACGGCGAAGTCCATCATTAAAAATGGAATGTGCTTCATACCACCCAGTCACTACCCAGATCAGGCCGCCCTTACAAACTAAGCAGCAGGGCAAGCAGGAAACTGGTCACAGATGCTACCGTGAAGACAACAGTGACTTTGAAAGATTTGCAAGTTCCATGTCTGAGATGGGAGTCAGTGTTCATACATCGACAATATCCCGGTTCCTATACAAAGCTAACCTGTATGGGCTAGTGGAAAGAAAGAAGCCATTACTGAAAAAGAGTAATCTTAAATCTCGTATGGAGTTTGCGACGAAGCATGTAAATGATACTGTAGACATGTGGCAGAACGTTTTGTGGTCAGACGAGATAAAAATTGAGTTTTTTTTTGTCTTAATTTAAAGCATTATGTATGACGCAAGACCAACACAGCACATCACCCCAGTCAACACCATCCCAACTGTCAAGTATGGTGGTGGCAGCATCATCTTATGGGTATGCTTCTCATCAGCAGGGACTGGAAACCTTGTCAGGATTGATGGGAAGATGGGTGGTGCAAAGTACAAGCGAATCCTAGAGGAAAACCTGCCTGAGTCAACCAAGAATCTAAAACTGAGTCGAAAATTCACATTTCATCAGGACAAAGACCCTAAGCACAAGACCAAAGCCACACGTGAGTGGTGTCAAAAGAAAGAATTGAATGTCCTGGAGTAGCTTAGTCAAAGTCCAGACTTGAATACAATAGAAAATTTATGCCAATGAACTTGTCAGAATTGGAGCAATTTTGCCAGGAAGAATGGGCAAAAATGACACCACCCCATTGTGCAAGCTGATAGAGATCGATCCAAAAAGACGCACAGCAGTAATTACTAGCGAAGGTGTTTCAACCAAGTACCTACTTAGGGGGGGTGAATACCTATACAATCAGTAAATTTCAATTTATATATTTTCTTTGCAGGTTTTGCTAACATTTAAATTTCTTCACACAACAGTGTTAAGTTTGATCATTAGAGTTTTGAATACAAACAAGTTCATTGAAAATATTGTTCACATTATTTGTATTTCATCAAAATGTGACATTATTGGTAGGGGTGAATACTTTTGCAAGGCACTGTATAGACATAACTGTTATAAGTGCCTGGAACATGGTCATTATAGTCGAAAATGTGAAAAATACAGCTGTTAGTACACCCAGGAGGCAATACCTTAAGGGTGGGATTCAGAAACAAACCAGAGCAAATGAGCTAACCAGACATCATAAACACATAAATTAGCCAGACATATGGGGCATAGTTCAGCTGAGAATACTTTATTTGTTCCAAATGACATAAGAAGCTCTTATTTAAAGTAACTAATACTGACGTGAAGTCTTGCAGTATGTTAGTCGATTATGGTTTTACAGGTACAATAGTTCGGCCTGATTTGGTAATGAAAAGCGGAAAGAGCATCTAGAAATAAATAAAGATGTATTGAAGCAAACAGCAAGTTGACATAAAGTTCCAGCAAGAGAATATTTAATGTTACCCTTACTGTAGGAAACATTCTCAGACCTCATAAAATGTTGGTAATCAACATCAAGGAAGAGTGCATATTAGGAGTTGGCTTCATGTAGTCGCGGATATGATGTTAGGCTACCTTCATACAGTTTCACAATCTATAACCAGAAAATCCCAGTGCACTATATGACAATTTCTACACCAGAGGTTGTACCTCCAGTGACAATAAGGAGGGTAGTCACATACTATCAATAAGTGAAATACTCATACCAGGGCTATTAGGAATTAATTTACGTCTTATTCACCAGCCCCCCCCCCCGTGGTGGGCAGAGCATAGATAGCCCATTGTGCAGCTTTGTGCTTAATTAAAAAAAATAAACAAACAAACGTATTCACCAAATAATCCCCAAAAATTCACCCAATGATAGAATATGTTGCAACAATATGATGTGTACCTAATACAATCTAACACACACGAAAAAGTAGTATACAACCCAAAAACGTCATAACAAGACCAGGAGTACGTAACAAGTGAACTGTTATTAATAAGCTAAAAATAATAAAATTATGATATTGGCATTTAATCAGCAATCTATAAGTAATCTTTGGTTAGCTATCTAATTTTCCTATTGATAACTGTGATCCATATGCCATCACCATCATCATCTCAGCATTTATCCTAGTTGATTGTGGGCCCACTTTACAAGTCTTCTGCTTCCATTTGTTCCAATCCATCACAGCATCTTCTTTTTCAACAGCACATTTTTCATGCCCTCTTTTATGATGTTAAATCATTTCTTTTTTTTTGGGGGGGGGTCGTTTGCCCTCAATTTCTATCGACCTAACTACATTACCAATGTACTCACCTGATCTGTGCATGATGTGTTCATACCATATGAGGCTACTTTCTTGTATATTTTCTGTTATGGCTTTCACACCTACACTTTCTTGATGTATGTATTGCGAATTCTGTCTTCCCTGGTAACTCCACACATCTACTACAACATTCTCATCTCTGTCATATATAACGTTTGCACAAGTTTTTCCTTATTGGCTAACATTCACTCCTATACATAATGGCTGTTTGAACCAATGTTTTGTACATCATTCCTTTTAATTTCACAGGCATATTTTGGTCGCATATGACTCCAGATACTTCATGTCATTTTATACACCCTCTGGTTATCCTGTCTTTCCTGTCTTCCTTACGCTGTGTCCCTCACGCTGAATTATCGATCCTAGCTATTTGGTTTTTGTGATTGTTCTATAGCTTCTCCAAGAATATTAATGGTTCTACCGTTTTGTGCATCATGACAAAAACTACGTTCCATGAACTCGGTTTTTGCAGTATTTAATTTCCAACCTCCTCTCTCTAGATATTCCTTCTATTAGCTTATCTTTTCTTCTAATTCTCGTTGGCTTTTACTACATATAACCACATCATTTGCATACACCATAGTCCATGGTGCTTGTTCTTGGATATCTTCTATCAATGTATCGAGCACAACAATGAATAAGTAGGGAGTCAAAGTGGATCCTTGGTGCACTGTCACTGCTATTAGAAAGTCCTTTGGGTTACCTACAGGTGTTCGACAATCTTTATACATGTCAATAATGAGACTGATATACTTTTCTGAAATTTTCAATTGTGGTTCCATCTGGACCAACTGCCTTTTCTATTTTAATTTTTGTCTAGTTCTTCTTATATTTCCCTTTTCTGATCTGCTATATAAATCCAAAATTTTTATGTCCCTGAGAACACGTCTCCTTTGATATTCTTCATTGAGTAATTGACTGATGTGTTCACTTCATATCTCTTTTATCCACTCTTCATCACATGTCATTTGTCCATTTATGTTCTTAACCATTTTAACTTTAGTAATATCCTTTGTTTCTTGATTTCTAGATTTTGCTAACTTGTAACTCATATTCTATCCTTCTCTGGTTTCCAGTTTATTACCGACCTCATTTGCATTTGAGCCTTTTCACTGATAACACCTCTTTCTTCACTTCCCTAAATGCCACAAGATCTTTGGCATTTTTCGATTTTTTGCCACTTTTTGTATAAACTTTTCTTTGCTGATATTTTGGACATTGACACTTCATCACCACGTTTCCTTATCAATACGTGCATGCCTCCTTTCAAATATCCTAGTATTTCTTTAACACTATCAAGTATCATTATTTTTACTTTATTCATCATTTCCTCAGTATTTTGTGGGTTTGCTTCGATCTCATTGAGATGTGACAACACCCTTCTTTTGAAGTATTCTTTTTTCTGGTCTTTTAACTTCCACCGCTAGATCTTGGGTGTAACTTTAGCTTTCCTCTTTTTCTTTTCTTCCTCCTAGTCCATACTCATCAGTAGCATTCTCTGTTGTGAGGCTCTCTCCAGGAATTACCTAACAGTTTCTCACGCATTGTATTTTGCTACTATTAACTAGTATGCATTCAATTTTATTACTGAAGTCTTTGCTCTTGTAAGTTATCGTATGTTCTGGGTTCTTTGTGAAAAATGTGTTTACAATTACATGGTCATATGCCATCACTAGATTCAGGATTATTTTACCTTTTACATTAATCATCCCATGTCTGTGTCCATCACACACTCTTTCAAATCCTTTTCTCTCTGATGACCAACAAGCCCGGTTAGATCACTTCCCATTATTGTTCTCTTTCTCCGTTTTTGATGCATTGGAGGAGTTCATCCAATTTCTCCCAAAACTGTCCTTTTTCCTCGTTGTGCTAGTGGCGCATAAGTGCTCCCTATTATAATATAATCCATGCCCAGAGAAAGTATTATCAACAAGAACCTGTAAGTCACACCTTTGACCTAAATGATGCTATTCTTTAACTTTTTACAGATTATCAGGCCAGCAGCATTATTTCCTGATACCATTCCATTGTACAGAAATTTAAATCTTTCTCCAATTTCTTTAGCTTTAGCACCTTTCTGACATGTTTCTTGGGCGCACAAAATTTTTATCTTACCTCGATTTAGGATGTCAACTAACTCACGACGTCTTTCTGTTAGTGTTCCTATATTCCACGTTATGAAATGTGGTTTCTGGAGTAAGTTCTTTGGTCATGCCCATCCTTGACATGGTAGCCCTCACTGATTTTGCACAGGAAATGGGTATGTTTTCTGTAAGTCACTTCCAAGGAATGCCTTATCCATTACTTCATTACTCTTCAATGACCTGGAGAACCAGTGGATTACTTATTTGTCTGGTCTGACTTCTACCCATTGACCAATCTGGTCAGGTAGGCGCAGCCAGTAGTTATGTTACCTCCAGCATAACTCTCAGGATCATGGAAACACGCAAACTCCGTCAACATGTCAAGGTAATTCAAGCTCCAGACGAAAACTGTGATCTATACATGTTTGCATAAACCAGCCTTTAACTACCACCAAGGCACATATATAAATACATTTGTAACAGTCTGTAAATTCATTCTTAAATTTATTAGTTCTTTGTTACTGTTATAATTTTACCTAAATGTTAGCCAGAGGAAGCTGCTGATCTTAATGATGACATTCAGATAACAGGTTTAATAAGATAGGCCTAAAACACCTAGAAAGTTCAAAGGACGTGAAATAAAGTTAAGACTTAAAACTGACCATCTCGGGGAATCGAACTCCAGATTCTAGCGTTGTAAGTTTGGAAATGTACACGGGGACTTATATCAAAATATGTGTTTAATTTTAGGATTATCAAGTTATTCTAAGATTTTGACATTGTATAGATTACTTTATTATGGCATATCACTTATATACCATTTATATAACAGTTTGACATGAAATGTATTAGTAGTAGTATTTTGTTTGTTGTTAAGTGTTAAGGTACACAATGGACTATCTGTGCTGTGCTAAGAATCTTCGCTGAGCCACTGGTGGTGGTGGTGGTGGGGGGGTATTATTATTTTTACTGATGTAGTTAATTATTATTTCTCGTTTACCAGTGGCTCAGCGTAAGTCTAAAGGCAGTCTTAAGGCCATTGGAGGCATTATTAATAATATTGCTGATGTAATTACTTATTTTTGATATAATAAATCACGAATTGTAAGTTACGTTTTACGCCGTAATATACAACTGAGAGCAGTGAATAATATAGGTTTGCAAGTGTAATTGAAATTAATTACCACTACTGTTAGAGTTTACCCGGTGAAGCCGTACGCTATTGACATATCCCCGCACGGCACTTCTTTCCAGCATCACTAAGGTGCGTTTTGGCGCTCCAACGGATAATTCGGTTATATTTTTCGTTCATGACCGGCGCAGACAGCCCCATAGCTTTGCGCCAGTAAACCACAATCATTCAATCGTTCATGACCAGGAGTGTTTTCTCACTCGCCGGTCATATGGTCATTTCAACCACTGTTCTGAAAAAGCGTAACCGAGTTCC